TGTATAACTTCTCTTGCCTTGTGAACCTTTAATGAATGGTCCTTATTTCTTTTCAAATGTAAATGCTTTTTTATATTCTCTGAAACCTAGTGGTTTAATTAAAAATCCATAATCTAGAATATCTTGCAGGTTTTTTCAGTTTTTTTTAACTGAATTTGTAAAGGTCAGGCCTTAGCATGCCTTGGGTGTTCTGGCCACAACTAAAATGACTTTGGAAGACTTACTTTCAGGAATCATTTCTGTAGTTCATAAAATGACTTTTGAGAGGGGCATGTGTGTATGTATACACACAAAAATAAAGTGGATTTAAAAAATAATTTCTATATCCTTGAATGTTGATTTTTTAAAATGTCTTTGACTATTATTGGTATTCTATTTGCTCATTGATGAATTCTATGATTAGAGAATAAGGATATTGGAAGTACATCTTCCTGAGTTTTACTACTGACTTAGGTTAGGAGAGAGTCTTTGACAGGGCAGTAAGGGGACATTTTGCAAATGGGCCAAATTTTTCTCTCTGGTATTTGTTTGAAAACTCAAAATGTATATAAAATTATGGTATTGGTATTGAACCAAGGGAAGTGACTAATAATCATGTTAAAGTTTATTGTTTCCTTCGTTGGGATGTGTTCCACCAGTATGCAATCCTATTCTATGAAATAGTTCTTTGTTTTATTGAGCCGGAAACCATGGCTTTCAAACTTAAAGGGAAGACCCCTAAATCTAGTAGTTTAATTTGGTAAATGAGCTTATGCTTAGGCTTTTTCATAGATTTTTAGAGTTGGACAAGATTTTGTAAATTAGCTTCTCTAAGCAGATCAGTTAGTGGCAGAGCCAGGGCTGAGCCTGGGCCTTCTAGATCATGCTGGTTTTTTTTTTTTTTTTTTTTTTTTTTTTGCTGCCTTGGGTCTTTGTTGCTGCATGTGGGCTTTTCTCTAGTTGCTGTGAGTGGGGGCTACTCTTTGTTGCGCTGCATGGGCTTCTCATTGCAGTGGCTTCTCTTGTTACGGAGCATGGGCTCTAGGCACGCAGGCTTCAGTGGTTGTAGCACGCGAGCCCTAGAGGTGCGTGGGCTTTGTAGTTGTGGCTAGCAGGTTCTAGAGCACAGCCTCAGTAGTTGTGGCACACCGGCTTAGTTGCTCCGCGGCATGGGGGATCTTTCCGGACCAGGGATCGAACCCATGTCCCCTGCATTGGCAGGTGGATTCTTAACCACTGTGCCACCAGGGAAGTCCCAATCATGCTGTTTTTGTTTGTTTGTTTTTTAAAAAATAAACTTTAAATTTTGGAATGGTTTTAAATTTACAGAAAGGTTGCAGATAGAGTACAGAGATTTCCTCAGTTCCCCTCACCCCACTTCCCCTACTATTAACATATTACATTGCCATGGTACATATGTCAAAACTAAAACCAGCATTGGTATATTACTGTTGAACTCTAGGCTTTAAATGCATTTCACCAGTGTTTCCTTTATGTCCCAGGATCCCTTCTAGGCTACCACACTACATTTAATTGCTATGTCTACTTAGTCTCTCTAGTCTATGGTAGTTTCTCAGTGTTGCTTTTTTTTTTCTTTTTTTAATAACTTTGACATTGTCTAGGAGTACTAGCTGGGTATGTCTGATGTTTTTCTCATGATTAGACTGGGGGTATGGGTTTTTGGAAAGAGTACCACAGATGTAGAATATCTTTCTCATCGCATTTATCAGGGGTGGGGGGGTTACATGATGTCCACATGCCTTCACTGGTGATGTTAACCTTCATCACTTGGTTAAGGTGGTGTTCGCCAGGTTTCTCCACTATAATTTCCCTCTTATCCTTCTCTACTCTTTGGAGAGGTAGACTCATGCTCCTTTTACCTTGTATTCGTCTTCCTATCTATCTATTGGTTTTTACATTCTTACTAAGTCTTAAATTTTTCTGTCAGGTAAGTTCTTAGACTGAAAGTGGTCTAAATTTTTGTCAGTAGCATTTGTTGGATCCTCATTATGTGAAGAGTTTTTGGCACTTGGAGATTTATTACACATCTCTCTTTCTCTTTCTCAACATGTTCACATTGCACTGAAATTAACTTTTTACATGTTTGCTGCTGCTTCTGTTGGGTTGTAAAAATGAGAGATCTCGGGGCTTCTCTGGTGGTGCAGTGGTTGAGAATCTGCCTGCTAATGCAGGGAACATGGGTTCGAGCCTTGGTCTGGGAGGATCCCACATGCTGCGGAGCAACTAGGCCCGTGAGCCACAACTACTGAGCCTGCGCGTCTGGAGCCTGTGCTCCACAACAAGAGAGGCCGCGATAGTGAGAGGCCCGCGCACCACGATGAAGAGTGGCCCCTGCTTGCCACAACCAGAGAAAGCCCTCGCACAGAAGCGAAGACCCAACACTGCAAAAATAAATAAATTAATTAATAAAATCCTACCCCCAACATCTTCTTAAAAAAAAAAAATGAGAGAGCTCTTCACTTCTGTATTTGTAATGCCTAGCACAGTGTCTCCTGGCTAGATATTTTTCAGTAAATGTTTTGTTGAACTAAATTGATGAAGGAAACCTGTATTACTTGGAAAACACAACAAACACCTGATAGTTTCATCCTAGTTTGCTATTATTAGAAATTAAAACTGAGAGTTCAACTGACTGAGTAGACCAACGAGCAAACAAAACTCCTTAGGAAACTCCTAAAATACTGGTTCTCAAAGTATGGTCTCCTATAAACAACATCAGCATCACCAGTTAACGTATTAGAAATGCAAATTCTCAGGCCGTACCTCAAACCAACTGAATAAGAATCTCTGGGGTTGTGCCAAAAAACCTGTGTTTTAACAAGCCCTCCAGGTGATTCTAATGGCCAGAAATACTCCCTAAAAGCATAGAGGATGAAACAAAATCAAAGAAAGAGAACAGCTAGTGGTAATTGACTGCAACAGTGAAACTAGTCCCCTCTTTCCC